CATGTGATACGGTCACACTTCCGCTTTAACCCGAATCACCTCACATGATTCTACTCCGCTTTAGCCTACCCCCTATTCCTGGCTAACAAAAGGAAAAAATAAATTACGTAATCACATCACATAAATCGAATTTCGCTTTTGTGATCAGTCACACTTCGGCAAAAAATTATTTATGAATTGCAAACCCGTTTAAAATTTTTATTTTAATATTTTACTATTTTAATTTTAATAAAAGTGAGAAGTTCCATTGACTTCTTGGCTTTTTAACTGTTGTACTTTAAACAAATGACCTCGCCAAAAAGCACTCAAAAATTAACTAGCAAACTTGAACAAAAGAATGAACTTCTTGAACACATTGATGCTAAAGTTTATTTCAAGCCACAGAGTGATGAATGTAAAACACATGCTTTCTCATATGAATTTGCGGAAAATTCAGATTCCAATCCAACTTCTATAATCCGTGACAATGCTACTCCGCATGGATTTGTCTCAGCAATCATTCATGCTTATACCCTTCACCAACATCTTCGATTCTCACCAGATGATGTATGGTTAACGATTATACAAGGTGTTAGCGGGCACATTTTGATTAATGCAGAACGTTTTCGTTACTTATTCGTTGATCGTGAAGGTCAGAAAGGTGTTACCGTAGATGCCAGAGATATTATAAGACCCGTCAACAGAAGTTTTGAGGGTGATTGGAAACAAGTGATTGCTCGACTTTCCGATGATATTGACAAACGAGTTAAAAAAGTTAATTTAAAAAAACATCTTGAATGTGATTTTTCTACCTCTACAAATGCATCTATTACTGCTAGCCAAATTATCTTGTTAGAAGCAATGAAAAAGTGTTTCAAATACACATTACGTGGTAGTTGTGGTATCCCGAAGGTCACCCTTGATGGCACCTTGGAAGATTGGTTATATCTTCAAGAAAAAGTTGCAAAAATCTGTGATTTAGGATTGGAACTTGATTTCTGGATGGATAGGTTAAAACCAGTCATCGCTCAATTTGTCTCTACTTATAAGGGAGATGTTGACGAAAATTTTTGGAGCATGGCTGTTTTCGAAGTTCCTTACAAATCTTGCGAGACGACTCCTTGTTGGAATGGATGGATAGGTGCTTTTTTTTCCTCACAACAAATCAGGATCTGAAATTAAAAAAAATCAAATTATTCCTAATGAAATACCTTCTGGATTATTATATGTTCCATTCGATTTGATTATTGAGAAGGATATTTTTAAATTAAATTTTGCTGCAGGTTTTTTTGGTGCTAGGCAAGATAAGGTTAACGAAGAATATGTTGTTTCACCTGTTATTGGTTGGTACATCGTCGACAAAATCGATGAAGTCATGCGTTTTCATTAAAAATTGAATAATAATTTTAATTTTAATGAAAAAATTAATAAAATTTTATATTATTATATTATGATTTGCTATTAAAATTTACCTTCATAATATTTTGACATATGGACTGATTTTAATAAAAAAGTGATTATTTACAGAATCATGTGATTTTATATGTATGTATGTGATTTTATGTGGAGGACCCTTATCACATACCCCCGGTATAGACTATTATCCTGTTCATAGGGGTAGAGATTCTTATCCCATTTCCTCAAAATTTTATTGGTACAGGTAATCATATGGATTCCACGTGTAATTCATGTGACAGATTTTATTGGGTGACAAATATGGTTTCCGCATGTAAAAAATTATTAGTCCTTGGGTATTTAATAAAAATTGATATTCGAAGGGTGTGATACGTGGTGATAAATAAGCTGCCCCTGATTAACCTTAACTCTATCCCATGCATTAAGGTAGTTACACAATAATTGCCACGGGAAAGAATAAAATACCTCCTGGAACAGGTTAAGATTACCGTGATTATTGATAAAATAATCATGTGTTTATATAATTATTTGATATTTAATTGGATAGTGAATTCAACTCGAGACTTTTGAGGCGGAAAAATTTTGTCTAGTTTCCAGAAGATAAATTAATTGCTATTCTAAAACGATTTGGCTTGTCAATTACAGGAAGGTAAAATTTGGGAATACGTAATTCAATGGGGGAAAGCCAAAAATCCAACTTTACCTATCAATATTGAAGAATGGACAAATAACGATTTTTTAAGCCTGAAGACAACTTTAAAACAATGCCTCCCACACATTAGATATCTTAGCTTTTCCGGGGAAGATGTGTTGGAAAACTTTTTCCATACCAGCAAATCCTTGAATCCAAGCTGTGGTTAGATATTAATACTAAAATTATGGCTCCTAACAAGCCAATCTCATCTCGGATATTACCTTCTCGGAAATTACCATCACGGATGATTTTAACATCTGAAGAAAAATCATCTAATCTTTGGCAAAAGTTATTTATAGCTATAATGCTGGTATTTATTTATTTCAGAATATTAACTTCTTATCTTAAACGTTCGACTTTAAATTGTTTTATTTATTTGTCCATTCTAATTTAACTTTGACTTTGACTTTGACTTTAATTTTCGTCTACTCTAATTTAACCATAATTGTTTAAATAATTAGCAAAAGATGATGAATTATCAACGTGCTGGACTATTAACATATTCTTCGTTAACCTTATGCCATCAAAGGTGACCTTTGGAATACCACAACTATCACATACGTTGTATCTAAAATACTTTTTCATTGCATCTAACAAGATAATTTGGCTAGTGGTAATTGATGCATTTTTTGAGGTAGAAAAATCACATTCAAGATGTTTTTTTTAAACCAACTTTTTTTTAACTCGCTTGTCAATAGTGCCGGAAAGTCGAGCAATTGCTTGTGGCCAATTACCCTTAAAACTTCTGTTGACGGATCTTATAATATCTCTGGCATCTATGGTAGCATCTTCCTGACCTTCGTGATCAACGAATAAGTAACGAAAACGCTCTGCATTAATCAAAATGTGCCCGCTAACACCTTGTACAACCGTTAACCATTCATCATCTGGTGAGAATCGAAGATGTTGGTAAAAGGTATAAACATGAATTATTGCTGAGGAAAATCCATGTGGGGTAGCATTGTCCCGGATTATAGAAGTTGGATTTGAATCAAATTCAAATGAGAAAGCATGTATTTTACATTTATCATCCCGCGGCTTGAAATGAACTTTAATATCTTTGTGTTCGATATGTACATTCTTTTGTTCAAATTCATCAGTTATTACTTGGGTGCTTTTTGGCAAGGTCATTTGTCTTAAAGTTCAAAGGTTTAAAAGCCAAGGGAACTTAGCATTTATAATTTATATATTAAAAAAAAAAAGGGGAGTCTAGAGCGGATTAAATCACATGACTTATTTAGGGTTAGATTGGCTAATATAAATAGACTGATCTTTTCATTGGCTGCTTTAACCGATCCCTGGAAATAGTTAATTGGCCACTATTTATTGAATTCGATCAGTTTTAACCTGACAAATGTTTCAATTTTTGGTTGCGCAAAAAAAAAATTTTTTTTTTATAATAGAATTCTTGTGAAGTATAAAAAATGTTTTTATTTAATACTGTAAAAGATTATAAAACAATTAAAATTAATTTTATTTAATTTCTGCTTTAATTGTTCAATTTCTAAAATGATATCATCAAGAATTCTACGATGTGATTTTATTTTTTTTTTACTACATAATTAGCTAATTATTCATTTAAACCTTGTCTATATGTATCTATAAATTGTAATGATTTTGTACTAACTTTTTAATCCTGAATATTTAAATCACATGGAATTGTTTCTCTTAATGCTAATATAGAGTAATCACAATTTGATCATGTAAATGTATATTATTTGATAGTTCTCCAATACATTTCTATGTAGTTGAACTGAGTAGATGGATAAATAAACAGATGAACAAATAGATGAATTAAGGAAATGAAATATTTGGTTGTTTATATTTTATTAAAAAAATAAAATAAATTAGGTAAGATTTTTTGTTCCAATTTTATTATATTTACTAGAAGATATTAATAGAATATCACATTCTTTAAAAGCTGATAACTTTTAAAAAAAGATCCAATTAAAATTCTATCACATAAGATTGAAAGATCTATCAATTTTATGTGGTATTTTTTATTAGATAATACATTTTTTCAAAAGTAGGTACCTTTAAAGTTGACCTAAAATTTTGTCAGGTTAAGAAAAATAATTTGGGGCTTTTTTCAGGAAAATCGCTCCTTTTCAGAAAATTTGGGTAATTTCAGTCGAAATTAATATTAATTTTAGCCAGTTGTAATAAAATTTATTAATTTTTGTTTTTCGTCACTATATTTTTTTTTCTGCATTTTTTGTTTTTTAAAGGACATAGAAATCAAGGAAAACGAGATTCGAAACAATTCTCTATTTTACCACAATTTAATTTCCGATTCACATACGGATTACGAATTAATTATTTTTATTATTTATAAATTGTAATGATCATCAAAGGACATCTTTTACTTTTAATTATGATGTACCCTTACATAACATACTTTATTTTTTTTTATTTGGAAATTTTAATAAATTTATTTAATTTGTTTGTCAAGCCTCCGATTATTAGTTAATTATTTAATAAAAATAGTAAAAAATACATTGTGTGCTCAATTTGGAAAACTGATTATTAACGTAATGATTAAGTATGATGTAGCCTTTACTCATTATATTTTTTTTATTGGAAATTTTAATAATTTTAACTATATATAGGAATCCAAACAATATATATTAGAAAGAAAATTATAAATGATTAGGTTACAATATAAAAACAGTTAAACAATAAAACATTGTCTTTAATGATAATATTATTTTTACTACCTGGATAAAATAGATACCCTACACTTAAGATCTTATTAATTATAAAATTTATTAATTAAATACAAATATTAATAGTTTAAATAAAAAATTCCTCCACTATTAATGATTGTACTACTGGTAGTACAATGTACTACATTGTGAGTTTTTGAAGCCATCAAAAATGGTATATGTTTAACGTCAATCAAAGTTGCTGAGCTAATCATATCCTAATACATTAATATACAAAAAATGCGTACTTCATAATTTTGTAAATCGTATAAATACTGTTAGAAGTTAGAAGTTCTTTTTTATTACTGATTTTTATAATTCTTTCTTGTCATATTTTATTATTTATTACTATTTATTTATTCATTATTTATTATTACTTAGTAGTTATTGTATTAGTTTTAGAATTGATATATATTTATGCAGTTATTCTATTTTTGTATAATTAGTTAATTAAATTAGCTCTTAGAATGGTCTAACTTTAGAATAACTAAAATAGAAAAAGGTTAATTGATTATCAAAGAGGACTCTAAGTACCTCAATTATTGTCCTGATCTTCTTACACACCTTAAAGAAGGCACAGTGTCTCAATAGAGGTTTGATTATTCCTGGACTCTAAAAGAGGTTGAGTGCAGTGCCTTAATTAAAGTCCTGTACCTTAGAGAGAAACATATATATAAGGCCAAGAGAAATTACCTTGTCCAAGTTAGTTTGTAAAGTTCATACAATTCCTATTTCTTTTATTTTAATAAAAATAACAATTACTTTATACTTTTGTCTTAAGTGTTGCTGGAATAACCAAAGGAACCTGGTATACCCAAACTCATCTTTCTTAATTTATTTTTATTTTTGGATTTTTGATTGATTTTAGTTTATAGTTATTTTAATTTTGATTATTGATTCAGTTATTTGATTTGATTAAGTATTTTTATTTATTGATTAGTTATAGTTATTGATATCTGTTGGTTAATTGTTTAGATAAATTGACACTATTCTTGTTTAATTGAATTCTTTCTATATTTTATATTTTATCTTTAATATTTATAATCATTCACATAATTTAACCAATACAAATTCACTACCAAGCTAAACCACTATAATTTAGTAAAGTTTGCTCTCCCAGGTAGTAACAGTGTTGATAGTAAGAAGCCAAAAAATATATCGAAGCTAATACATCTGACCTTTCGTATAACAGTTTTGGGGGGTTTCGATGTAATGCATCTAATTTCTCATTCCAAGATCACATTGAATTTTTTGAGAGAACTTTATCGTCCATATGACGGTTGAGATCATCTGTCATTTGATAATGGTTTAATGATATTTCTTTTTGTTCGAAAGTTGTAAACGTGAGAATTGTAAATGCAAAATTTTTTTTTTTGCAATTTTGAAATTTATATTACTTTTGTTAATATGATCTATCCATACAATTCAATTCCTTCTCAATAATTTTTAAAGAAAAAATGGAATGGTATTGGTGAATGCGTAACAATACGTAATTTTTTTTTTTTTCGTTAAATTTTTTCAGCGCAGCATAATGCACTATCCAGTACAAAAGCCATGTTTGTGTGTCATGTATGCATAAGGAAAACATTTCTAAAAAATTTTGCAAATGTCAGGATAATAAAAAATAAACAAATACAGTTGTAAACTGTAAAATTTTTTATTTTGAAATAAATAAACAAAATAAAGATTTGTATTTTTTATTAAACGAAGTAAATGATTATTTTTGTGTATATATACAATTAAATTCCCTCTCCAGCATGTAAGAGAATTTATCATTTATATTAAGGTATTATTAGGAATAAAATTTGTACGTTGTTTTGTTATTACTGTATTAATGGTGGTTGTGTAGCTTACGGAGGAGGTGGTTGTTTTGGTTGTTGAGGAATATTATTATTATTAGCCGCAATTCAAAATTGACCTGACCATCCATAAAAATAACAGAAAGTCGTAAGGTCAGGAAAATATTTTTGATCAGGGCTATAACATATAAATTTTCTTCTTTTGTATACCCAAATGAAGTTGATAAATACTATTTATTTTTTTTTATCTAAAATAAATAATTTGGATAAATAATAAATTAGATATTTTCTGGTAAGGAGAATAAAATTACAGGAAATACTGTAATAAACTACCTTCGGTGATCCATAAAATTACAAAGGCACTAAATACGAATGCGTAGAGTAAAAGAGTTAAAGTTTGTAAAAAAAAAAATTGAGATACTTACGCTTCGAATCCCATAAAATAAATTTCGCTTTTTTTTCCTTTTTTTTTAATGCAACATATTCGATTATAAAAAAGGTGTATAACGTATAAAAAAATGAGAATAAAATTATTTCACATAACATTGAATGAATTGGTTATTTATAATACTAATGTAATTATTACAACAACGTATATCCATACTATCATATCTCCTTTAACTCTTTTTTTTTTAAAGTTTTAAGAATGATTAGTCAATATTTGATAATACATACTTCTGTAAAATATATTTTAGCCGGACTATCGTTGGCTTCAGAGTGCTGGTAGGCATAATATCCCACGTTTAACAATTGGTTGCTCATGATAATTTTTGTGATATTTTCTTAGACTATAAGGAAAATCTTTTGATATTTTTACGGCAAATTTATTTACTGATTGAATTAGCAATATAGGTAATTAACATCCCGATGAACGATAAAATATAGGATACATTTTTAAAATTAAATAAATCAAATGTAGCTTTATTTATACTAATCAAAGTGACGCTCTTTGCGTGGGATAAACCAGATATATCACGGTGCTACCATGAATATCACAATCATCATGGTGAAAAATAGCCGGAGTCACGGGGGATGATAGAGGATGATATGTGTCACTATTTGGATGAAATTATCTTTGTGCATCATCCTTCATCCAAGATGAAAGATAATATCCTCGTGTTTATGGATGATGGTGTGTGAAAGTAAACAAAGGGTAAGATATAAAATAGCTGCGGGTGAGGAAAAAAAAGAAGAGATTCTTATCATGCGAATGTGGTGCGGAATCAGGAGGATGATGAAAATTATAACTAGGAAACGAAACCGTTGTGAGTCCGGAGAAAATGACTCGTTTTAGCATTATAATTTTGAAACGTGAGGCTATATTATTCAATACGAAAAAAAGGAAAATTTTTCCTTCTAAATCATTTAAATATATAAAAGGCAAATTTTACCTTTTTCGGAAAAGAGCAACATCTATATCTAAAAAAGGGCAAATCAATTTTTACCTTTTTCAGAGAAGAGCGACAATTCAAATCCGAAAAAGGTAAAATTGACTTTTATAGATTCGAATGATATAGAAGAAAATTTTGCCCTTTTTCGGACAAGAGCGTTCTGGAAATCTTGCCCCGAAAAGGCAAAAACTTTCTTTTTTTTCCCTAAAAGGAAAAGAAAAACAGTGAAATAATTTATTACTTATTTATATTATTTACCAATGTGCATATCTATAATAATATAAGTTGTAATTTTAGTAGTCTATTTTTGCATTTGATTATTTAATATGGATTAAATATAATTTTACTACTTTCGTAATAACGTATTAATTTGGACGCATTTTGTTATTTGTCGTCAATTTCTATAACAAGTAGTCCATTGTTGGAATTTGATCTATAGTCACATGTACGTTTTACAATTAAGATCTTAGATTATCAAGAGTATTCCTTGAATTTTTACTATACACCAACTTATAAAAAATATACACATTGCTCTCTTATACCCTTATATACTCTAACATATTCTTATATTCTTATCTTATTTAGTATACTCTTTTACTAATGTTTTGTAAATGGTACAGAAGGAAGGAATGACGTTATTCACTAGAGTTATAAAACTACTCACGACGACTTCAAAGAATATAATAATAATAAATTCGAATTCTGTTATTATAACAAAATCAAAACTTACAACGAAATTATCAAAATTACCTTTAAATAATATTAAATATGGATATTATTTTAATCGCGGATTAACAACCAATTTAAATAATTATATGATATATGATAATGATAATATAAATAAAGTCGAAAATAATAATATAAATAATAAATTCGATAAAATCGATAATAATAAAATTGGTGAAATTGATAAAAATAAAATCAAGGAAGCAAATAAAATTTGTAAAGAAAAGAAAGAATTTTATGATAAAAATTATACAATTGGCTTCATTAATTATGAATTATTGGAAGGTAATTAATTTAATATATTTAGAATTTAATTTGTTGATTCATTGCATCACAATATTTTATTATTTTATTTTAGACTTTCCAGCCTGGCTCAAAGGATTAGGATTAAAAGCTTTGATTCCATGTTTCGAAGGTATAAATTGGAAAGATATTATTGAAATGAATTCAACAGATTTAAGTGAATTAGGAATAAAAAATAAAAATATCAAATTTACATTATTAAATCATTTTTGGATGATTAAACAAGATATGGTATGTATAACTTAAAATATTGTTATACTTTAAAGACACTAACGGATAAATTTAATAAATGTTAAAGGTTACGAGTGAAGGGATTAGAGTACCTCGTATAGAATTAGATTCTATCGAAGAAGAAGAAAATGATGATGACATTGAAAAATTTGAATATGATCAAGATGATCCAAAACCTTTTGCAGTTGATCCTAGAGCTTTACAAGGTATTTTAATTATTTTATATATTATTTTATTAATTAATTTATTAATTTAATTATTATTTTATTTGTTATTTTATTATTTTATTAATATTTTATTAATTAAATATTTTATAATTTTATTAATTTAATTATTAATAGATGTAGAATATTTATTATCAACGCTTGGTCTCCAATTTGTATTTATTGAATCTTTATTCCAAGGTAAAACACCTCTTGAAATATTTGAAATGACTAAAAAGGATTTAGAAAATATTGGAATTACTAGTGGTTACATGAGAAGAAGATGTTTGGCTACTTTTAAGAAATATCGAAACATTGTGAAGGTTTTAGGACCTGAAATGTTTTTTTGAAATATTTTATTTAAATGTTTATTCGGTTTTAGAGAAATATCAAATAGTTAATTTTATAATTCTGATATCATAATGTTGAAATCGTAACGTTGATATCAAAATCTTTTTACGTTCATTTCTATTCAATAATTAGAATATATCAGCATTTATAACGAAATTTAATTATCGTAATGACTATAAACAAATCAATTTGTACAATATAAATAAAGATAATTCTTTTCCCCATCATTTATTAAAGACATTAGAAATTTGCCACTTAGAAATGAATAATAAAACATCAAAAAACTATAAAATCGTTAAAAACAGTTGGTTTCTACTTAGAGTACTCAGTGTATATAAATATGAAAAATCTTGAAGTAAACTAATAAAAAGAAAAAATTAATCTGAATATAAAATAATTAAAATCTTAAAAGTTTATAAACTTAATGAAAAAAATTATTATTTAAATTAATTTGAGTACTCTCAAATTTCAAATTTCAAATTTCAAATTTCTTCTTTATGTATCTTATAATAGGATATAAATAAAGGAATTACCCATGTTTAATTTGTTTCTAAGGAAACGAAAATGCCTGCAACTACTTTTTTTCGCGTCAAATATCTAATTAATAAATAGTGATTATACATTAATTTAGGCTGCTAAAGAAAAATTATTTAACAGTATTGATATCTAAATTTCACGAAACAACTTTCTTTGATGAAATTTAATCATAAAAATTCGCTTTAAATATTCAACTATCTGTATTGCAAGAAGCTTCGATTGTGGTAATTCAGAGGGAGAAATTATCAAACTTTATCGGAAATATAATAAACATTGATAATATATTCTTATACACTTTAAGCAATAATCAATGTCATTTTGTTGAAATATAGTGCAAGTTCCCTGTTTCCAAATTTGTAATAAAATTACGTTCAAAAAAATTAATAAAATTCAATTGAGTTAGAAAATCCCTATTCATTCTAAAAATTTTATTCATTAGTTTATGATTTACCTTCTTTTAAAAAATAACTGATTAAACATTCTGGTGGCCTCATTTTACACAACTTTCACTCAATAAAACATAACAAATATAAAAACAACACATTTAGTTAACAATTTCATACTCCTAAATTAATTACACAAATGATTATGCGATGGGATGCTGAAATAACACGCCGACTCACTTTTAAAAAGTCGGGTAAATACTTTTAATAATTATTTGAAACGTACTAGTGTAATTATAATTCAAAATAAAGAGGCGAAGTTTTTCTAAAAAATAAAGAAATAACTGATACAAAATTCACTACTCAGAAAATTATAAAACACATCGACAAGTAATTTAAACTATTAGACTTATTAATTTTTCGAATCTTCCAAAACCTTTAAATGAGAGAAAATTCTGAAAAAAAAATTTGAAGAATTAACAGAACCTTTTTCTCACATAATTTATATAATTACTAGTAAGTATCAATTCTTTTTTATTCATTTTCATTTCATACGTACTTATATTAATTAATTAATTATTTTTATTTTTATTTAGATGATGATATTGAAGATTTTAAATACTGAGTGTACTTAATATATTCGTTTTGTTGTTTTGATTTTTATTATATAAATCATATTTATATTAATAATATTTTATAAATTCTTAACACATGTATAGAGAATTGAAATAAAAATTTTTTATTATGTATTATCACTAAAAAAAGATCTTTGTTTATTCGAGGACCAAGGATACAAACTAAAATTTTTTAATACAATTTTCAAAGTAAATCACAATATCAACTATTAAAAAAACAAAGATCAAAAAAACAACTTCCAAATAAATCATATTAAAGAATTTAATAAAACAAAGACAAATTAATCTCATATTGAAAGGGCAATAAATAACACAAACAATATTATATTCTATTATTAGTGTAATATTTTAGGAGCAGTATTGTCGAGGACAATAAAAGGGCAAAAAAAAGTTTTTTAAAATGTAAATAATGCAAGCTTTTATTATAAAATTTATTTTGAATCATTAATTAAAGTTATTCAGATTTGATTTTTGCATATATTTATAAAGTTTTAATATATCTTAATAAGCATGTTAAGGGTGGAGACAGTGCATGCGCGGACATTTGAACAGTAAAATGTACAATACTGTTTAGGAGTACATGCCTCTGGTTTATTCATGCAAATGAAGTATATTTATCATACTACCACCATCAATAAATATCAAAATAAAGCTTGGTGTGTAAAAATTTTAAATTAAATATGCATAAGAGATATTATTCTGAAATAATTTATTTAAATGCTTATTATTTTATATTTAAGTTTGCATTGTTTTTAATATTATCTAAAAATATAAATCATCATTGTACTTTGATAAAATTTTTTTTTAAAATTACTTTCTACTTTTTCTGGATGATAATCAAACACAGCACATAACATTCCCTTTTATCTAAAAATATTTAATTTTTAATTATTCAATTGAATGATCATATATTATCATTAGGTGGTAATATTTTAATTATTTATATATATTCTTTTGAACTTTTTAAATATCCCCTTTTAATTCAATAAATTTTTGACTTCATCACTAATGAATAAGAAAAGACCTTCTTATTAAATTTTTTTTTTTTGGATAATCTGAGTAAAAATATTTTTATATTCAGTTCAGTTAGTTTTTTGAAATTATGTTATTGTATGCAAAAATGTGATCAAAGTATTTTTAAATTAAATATATTGTATTGTTTTATGAAATGCGGAAACAGTTATCTCTTAAAATTTCAGAGTACTTTAATTATAATTAGTAAAGTAATGAAAGATTTTTAATTTGAATAACTATTCAATGGGACAGATAGTATAGCTCTGGTCAGCTTATAGTCATTTGGTAAGATCATAATAGTTTGATGATGCAGTTTGTTTACTTTGCAATATACAAGCACATATTTTTAATCTAATAGACCAAACAAATTATAAATTGGTCTAAGTCAGAAATACTGATGTAACTATTGGTTGCTTATTTTTGTAAAATAATTTTTTTTTAATATCTATGGTGGTTTATTTAAAATTTTTCTTCCATATATATAGAAAATATAGGACTCATTTACAAATTTCACTTTCTTTTCATAGAAATTATAGACTAATTTTTAGTGGGAGGTAGCACATGTATGTAATTTAATTCTTTTGATAATCTTGAGAATATATAGGGTCTTATTACTTGAAATATTACCATAATTTATTATTTCTTGGAACATATTTTTTTATATGCCTATCTTTATATTATAGATTAAATTATAAATTTGATAGAAGAATAGAATATTTTGGCTGCACAAATGAAAATATATAAAAAAAGTAACAACTTATTATAAAAATATAAATATTTTTTCATAACATTTGCCATAATTCACTTTTAATTTCTAGCTATAATTTGTTTTGAATTTTCATGGCAAATGTAGTTATTTGGAGTTCATATTTTTCTGATGGCCAATTGTTTTTGTAATAATTTATTACAATATTTATTGATAAATAATTAATAGCTCTATTGTCCACAAACTTTATCTTTATTAAAATTTTTTTATAAATTATTATAAAAAATATTAATGGATGTGTATTGCTCATATATTTTATCAACTTCAATGATTATTGAGGGAAACTAAAGTTTAATGTTACTTGTTCAAACTTAGAATTATCATTAACTTATTTAAAATTTCTTATTCTTAAAATATTTTTTCAAATAACTAAATATTTAGAAGATTTTAAACAATTTAAATATGCCTTGCAAATAACAAATAAATCAGAATAGGAAGTTATAAATATTTTTTGTGCAATTAATTATCTTTTTTTTTGAAATAATATATTCTATGATATGATTTTTTTCATCCCTGATGTCAAGGATGAAAATGTTGTATCAAAGATTGTAGAACCAATTCAGTAGTGACAGTATTTGTTCATTCCTAAAGAAACAAAGGTTTCAATTATATAATTTGAAGTTAATATATCTATATGACCTGAATTTCTTATGGTAGCTACCAAAGAGGATTCAGGACTTCAAAATTAGAACTGAATAAAATACATGCAAATAAATTGCTGTGTTAAATATTTTTAATAATTAAGTGAGTTAAAAAATTTGGAAATGTTATTAGTATTGATGTACTATATGTATTTTTTTCTGCAAGTGAAATGGGAATTCTCCAGCAACTAAAGCAAATTACAGGTAAGTCATAAATCATTCCATTTGTCCAGAAAATGCAAATATATATTCATTGAATCAAATGAGCAAATGATAAGTTTAGAGTTCACAGATTTTTAATCTAATAAATATTTTTATAAATCTTTGGGTTCATTATTATAAATCAACTTTTTTTTTCCTTTTTACAAATTACAGAATTTAAATAATGGAACATTTTGCATATGTAAGTCTATCATAAGTATTGATGATAGAAATCTCATGGTGATTTGATGATTGTTATTATATATTTTTTTTATAATATATTTATTATTTATTAAAAGTTATCATGCAGGGTTTAATTTTATTATTTTCATTCATCAATGCTGAATTCAATTGAGCATTAATTTGAAGAATTATTATTTATTGTGGTGGCTTGAAAAGGGAGCATTGTGGTGGCTTGAAGAAGGAATATTGTGATGGTTATAGTCAGAAGGTTTATTATGACATTTATAAAAATGTAGAATTATCAAATTGTTATTGTCAGCATTAAATGGTCAATGAAAAGTTTATATGTTCTGTAAATTTGTTAAATAAGATAATATTTTTATAATGAAATAAAGATTGAATTTTACAAGAATAATTCTATAAATTAAAGTAAGATGTAATTATGTGATCAAAATAATTAAACATTGAAAGATCACTTGTTTTCTTGGAAACAAATAATGAAAATATATAGTTTGATCAAATAATGCCATGATAAGATAAAATTTTTCATGATCAAATTTATTTTATTTTTTGTTTAATTATATTTGTAAAATTCTAATATTATATTCTATATTATATATAAAACAATGATATTAATTA